CCCCCCCCCCCCCCCCACCGCCACCACCAAAGCCAAGGTCTCCCCGGCCCACAAACCTGACGGCGGAAGTGACGTCACAGGGCACGGCGCCGCCCGCAGCCAGTCACGCCACAGCAGGAGGCCAGCCCCGGCCAACCGGCGCGCGCCGGAGGGCGGGACTTCCGCCCGCCGCAAGTTTGATTGAAGCGGGGGGGAGGGGCGAGGTGAGGAATGTGAAGAATGACCCCCTCCCCCGCCCGGTCGCCGAGGAGCTGGGCGGGAAGCGGAGGGGGCTGGGGCAGGCCAGCGGCCACGCGGCACCCCTCCCCCGCCCGCACCCCGCGCTCCGCAGCCTCGGCGCGCCGCCAGCGCCGGGGACAGCCGCCTGCCCGAGGCAGCCGGGCAGCCCACGGGTCCCCGGGTGCGGCGTGCCAGCCCCCAAGTCTTCCCTCCTGCCCGTCCGCCCGCCCGCTGCGGCCGCGAGTCGGAGGACGGGAAAATGGCGACGGCCCCGCGCTCGCCCTCTCGCCCGCGGTACCCACCTCAGGCTCGCGGAGAAGGCCTCCTGCCGCCGCCGCGGGAACGGTCCGGCCTTTCCCCACCGCGGCCCTCCACCGCCGCGCCCGGACAGCAGCGCGCGAGAACCCGGATGGAAGCGCGGGCGGGCGCCGCCTCGGCAGCCGGAGGGAAGGCTACGCGCGCGCCGGGAATCCGATGCGGGGGCGGGCGCCGCGGGCAGCGCGCGTGCCCATTGGCAGAGCCTCTTGACGGACGTGCGCCTCGTCCTTTCGCCTCAGCCGGTCGGGACTCACCCGCGCCCCACTGGAGGGTGGCGGCTGAGCCCGCCCCGCACGGGGCGGCCGCCGCGGAGAAGGCGGGTCTAGCCCGCCCACCGTGACGGCTCCTCTTTCCCTACTGGAGAACCGGGAGAATGGAGAGGACCGTCCTCTCGGTCCCGCCTTCCGCGATGAGGGACAAGCCACATCACGTGGCTGCTAGTCGCTCGCCCAGCAGCCTGGCGGGAGGTGCTGGAGCGCCCAGGGCGGTTTTCACGTGTTGGGTCCCCCAGAATCTTCCCTCTCAGCGGCCCGGAAGCCGGGTGCTAAAGCTGCTCTGAGCCTCGGCTCACCCATCTGTCACATAAGGAGTTATGTTACCTATGAGTGTAACTTTTATCGCTTTTATTATTTTTTCCATCCCATGTATTGATTTTTCTTGTACGAAAACTTTTAAAACAGCCCTTAGTTACCCTGTTTTTAAATCAATGCAAAAGTGTTTCTCCATTCCTATTAAAACTTTCCCGACTAGGACTTTAAAATCGCGAGACCTGTGCTTTAGCTGTTTCTTACTAGTTGGTTCTAGGAGCTTTGTGCAGTTTTAAAAGAAAAGAAAACGTAGCGCTTCTCTACAATACAGCCAGGGGACATCTCACTGTAGACTTGAGTGCTGTGCTTATATTATGAACTCAAGACTGTCAGCTGTCCTGTTCTTCCGAAGTAAATGGCTAAGGAGTTAAGATGGAGGGTTTGGGTCTACAAGAAGAAGGGAATGAACTTGAGCTTGTGGGATGGGTAGGATTTGGAAGAGCTTCTTTCAACCCTTGGGATATTCTGTGAGAAAGAGCATTATAAACAATATATAGAAAACTATGGCAAAAACTTATCTTTAGACAAAACTAGATTCCTCACGGTAGGCTTTCCTTCATAGACATATGGCTCTCTCTCTCTCTCTCTCTCTCTCTCTCTCTCTCTCTCTCTCTCTCTCTCTCTCCTCTGTGTGTGTGTGTGTGTGTGTGTGTGTGTGTGTAGTAAACAGAAACCTACTTTGAAGGTGATTACAGACTCAAACTGCATAAATGTAGCCAAGTCACTGAAAATGCGTGAAGTTTCTGGTTTCTCTCCTAGGAGGAAGGGCTTTCCCTCGATTTCCTGAGGGGCATTCCAGACTATGGGAATCGGGACCTATAAAATAAATAGGAATAGCCCATGGAAAAGCAACCCACTGGGCCCAGAAAGAATTAGGTGTATATTGAAACCAAAGATAAACAAACTCCTGCAGCTGAGGTTTTGGAGTAGCCAGACCTGTGTCCCTGATTCTTTGACATCTCTGTTCCCACTCTCCTTCCCTCCAACTTTCTCAAACTAGACAAACAAATCAGCATATGTAACCAAAACTATCAAAATAAAGCATACATGCTTCTAGACATTTCTCTGGCCACTTTCCTCAGCCCTTCCGTTGTTAAAATTCCCTTTGTCTTTGTGTCTTCTGTTCCCCTTTGATCCTACATTCATTACCTGACTTCAGGATGATCAGCTTGCCTCTTCATAGGTTAGACTCTGTCCTTCCTTATTCCTGGGTATAATTGCTCATTTAAATGTGTCAGTTGGAGACACCATGCACCAAGATATCTTCTTAAATAATATTCTGGGTATTTTTGTGAGGACATTTCTAGATGAGATTAGCATTTAAATTGGTAAACTGAGGAAAAACAAATAAATGGGCTTCCTCAATGTGAGCTGGCCATGTCTAATTCGTCTAACCCATCCAGGGCTTAAATAAACCAAGCAGTCCAGGGACACAGGGTGGTTGAATTCTCTGCTTTCTGACTCCCAGGCCCTCAGATTAGCCCAGCAGCAGCTTTCCAGCATTTCCAACTTGCACATGGAAAACTGTGGGACTGGCCCAGCTAGATGGCTCAGCAGACAAAGGCACTTGCTCCAAGGCTGATGACTAAGTTCAGTTCCCAGAATCTGCGGTAGAAGAGAACCGATTCCTGCTGAGTTGTCCTCTCACCTCCACACTCACTGAATAAATTTTTTTAAAAAAATAATTGTTTTTTTTTTTTCAAGAAAATTGTAGGACTGCTTAGACTTCCTAATCATTTGAGCCAAGAATGAACATGCACTTCACACGCTGATGCTCTCTGGCTTGGGATAAAGTTTGGACCCAATAAAGCAGTGTTGTGAGTTAAACCGTCAGCAGTTGGGGGCATTGTGGTTCTGCTTCCCTGTGAATGCCGACTAACACGCTGGATCTTCTTAGGCAGCTCGCCGAGGCCCTGTTACGGCATGGCTTGGCTAAGAGGAGAATGTTATCCGGTTATTATTTGTTTCAAAAGGCTGTCGTGACTACTTTGTTATGACCACCTTGCTATGTTCTGCTCCTGTAACCCTGCCTCTTTTGTCCACCAAATCTCCCATCTGGAAATCCCCCTACCCCTGAACTATAAAAACCTTGTCTTCCTCACATGTAATGCTGTCCTCTTGAACCCTGCTTTTAGGGAGAGACAGTCGGTGTGCACGGATAAAAAAGTTTGCTTTAATTAATTTGGCTATGATGATTTGGGTCAGTAGTCTTTCTCCTCCAGGCTTTGGGATTGACGTCAGCACCGTTTCCCCAGTAAGTGTCGGACACATTTCCCTCTCCCTAGGAACTACCTGGAGTTTCTGTGAGCCATGCCCAATGGGAAGAGAGTTAGGAGGAGGATGGCCATAAGAAGGTTAAGAATCCACATTTCTACCGTCTGCTAACTGTGGCTTTAGACATATTGCTGATTTCCTTAGACCTCAGGTATCCTCATATTTACTCTTGCGTTATAGGGCTCCCAAAATTCAGTTGGTGGAGTACTTGCCTGGCAGGCAGGAAAGTGGATCAATACATAAAATCTGTACCCCATAAACTGAACAAGATGGTGCACATCTTTAATCCCAGCACTTGGGAAGTGGAGGCAGGATTCAAGCCATCCTTGTTCAAGTTAAAGGCCATCCTGGGATACGTGATTCAATGCATGTACATAACCAGCACTCACAAAGCCTTCCACAAATACTGAATTTCATGGTAGGTGTTTAATGAAAATCGACAGACTATTAAAGAATGAACTCCTCTAAAAAACCGTGACAGTGTTCTTTAAGGGGATAGATTCTGGGATAGCCTAAAACTCAAGCCCAGGCCTGGTGGATGTGGATTTGCATATAGTTTACCATTTAAATGACTGTGCGATCTTGGGTCTGTTATTTAAATTCACTGACCTCAGAGTTTGCTCCTAAAAGATAGAAATAGGAGACAAACGTGTCTCCGAGAAGATAAGTCTCAGTTCTCCTAGTTAGTTCCAGAAATAAACTAAGTCTTTCACAACACTGTACCTAATGATGTTGAAGTTATTATTGTGATGGGAAAATGAGCAAGCCACTAGAGCTAGCCAAAGGCTTCCTTTCTAGGGGAGTCATGGCCTTTTGTAATTTTTGTGTCTGTCACTCCGAGTTAAAATTTGTATAGTAAGCTGGGTGACCCGAATGGAGAGAGAACTCACGATGTGGAAAGAACGCCCACCCACCCCTGCTATCCTGTGGAGTTGCCCAAGAACTCATCTATACCACCACCAGATCATGCGAGCAGGTCCAGCATTTTCAGGGTGCTGAAGTCTCCTTAACAAGCAGAAAGCTATGCCGGGTGTGGTGGCAATGTGCCTTTAATCTCAGCAGAGGCAGATGGAGCTCTGTGTGTGGGTTCAGGTCCATCCTGGACTACAGACCTAGTTCCAGCCTGTCGAGAGAGAGAGAGAGAGAGAGACAGAGAGAGAGAGAGAGAGAGAGAGAGAGAGAGAGAGAGAGAGAGAGAGAGAGAGAGAGAGAGAGAGAGAGAGAGAGAGAGAGACAGAGAGAGAGAGAGAGAGACAGAGAGAGAGAGAGACAGAGAGAGAGACAGAGAGAGAGAGAGAGACAGAGAGAGAGAGACAGAGACAGAGAGAGACAGAGAGAGAGAAGGGGGAGGGGAGGGGAGGGGGAGGGGGAGAGGGAGGGAGGAGGAGAAAGAGAAGAAGGAAGAAGCGGTAGGGAGCTTCTTCATAATTAAGTAGGTTTCCCCTACAAAAGAGGAAGCCTTGGATAACAGTTACCAGCTGGATGACCCGTATGGAGAGAGAACTCACGACGTGGAGAGAACGCCCCCCCCTCCCCCAGGAGTTGAAATGTAGCTACTTTCTAATTGCAGCCAAAATAATCAAAGTTGTTGACATTCTGGAGCCCCAAACAGGACTTTACACCATGGATTCCATGACCCCAAACCCACTTTCCTGCTCAGAGGACACCTTAGCAGAGGAAGTAGAGGAGGCTGAAGGTGGGTCGGGTAAACCAGGCAGCTTCCTCGGACTTTGGTAGGGAGCCGGCACTGTGGGACACAGAACTTCCTTCAGCGCTGCACGGTCCACCCACGCCCTGCCCTTGCCCTCCCCAGCCTGCTGCCTAGGGCTCCCAGAGCCAGGCCCCGGGTCCAGCACACACTCAGACAGGACCTAGTCAGTGATGTCTGTTCCTCTGGACACTTTGGCCTTGGCGCGAATGCCCAACAGGAGCCTCCTCAAGTCAGCCATGTCCTGGTGCAGTAACTGCTCTGTGTTCCGGTGTTTCAGCACAGCCGCCTCATGTGCTGTAAGACTGGCGCGAAGCCTGGAGGAGGCCAGCTGGAGCCACTCCAAGGCGGAGAGCTCCAGCTCCCCCTCTCGCGAGGCAGTCCTCCTGCGATGGATGCCGTAAGCAACCATTCTGCCTGTGTCTCCAGTCCAGCACGTGTGGCGGTGGTCGACTGGTAGAAAGTTCCAGACGAGCCTGTTTCTGGTGAAGGGAACGAGAGTTTCTCCTTAGGAAAGATATCCCGGGAGATAGCAGGAGGCCACACGCTTGCTTCTAGGCTAGGAGGCCCAAGGCATGCAGGCACTGCTGGCCATCTGCCCGGGATCTATTTGTCAACGGTCCTACCCAGGGAACCCTGATTCTTTGGGGCAGCTAAAAATATTACATTCATTTCCTGTTTCCTTTACAGTTGGGTGCAGTAGAAGCCGATGCAGACATCCTGGGATGGAGCTTCCAGGAATGCGGCTCAAAGCTGGTAGTACCTCTGGGATAAGTTTGGACCCCTGCCCTTCCTGTTCACCCATAGAACCGTGGACCAGTTGCCTGTGTGGATCAGCGGTCTTTCTAACCTGTGGGACGATTACAATGTGTTGAGGCCTCAGAGTGGGGAGCGTCCGGATCTCCCAAGCCAACCTCCTTCCACTTGCTACCCGGAGACATTAAGTCAGAAACCCTCCCCCCCTCCCCCCACTCACCCCATCATCTACTTCTGCTATAACCAAATGCAGATCCTTATTGAAAGAATAACAGAAGAAATTACCCAAATATTTTGAAGAAGATGAGACCTAGGATATTCCCCAGGTAATAGTCTTAAAAACAAACCAAAAATAACAGCAAAACCAAGATCTTCCACTCTGGGTTGTCTATAGTCAACATCATCCTGCCTGATTCACTGGACTCATGGTCTACAGTTCATCCCTGAAGTTCAAAGGTCAGGCCTTCCCTGATATAGACAGCAAAGGCAGGGGGAAGTACAGTCATGGCAAGCCATGAAGAATCACAGGGATCTTGTCCTGTAGCAGCGGTGAGCCCTGCATTTCAGTTTCTTGCCTTGTGGAGAAAGATTCTTGGATCCGAAGACTAGTAAGTGAGATGCTGGAGATGCAGACCCAGGCACCGGGCCAGGTGTGCGGTAAGCACTTTAACAAGTTCCTCCCTTTCCCCTCTGTCACAATGTGCTCCTCGATTTATAAGCAAGGAGATATGTTCTGCCACCCACAGGAGAGCCTGAAACTGGATATTGTATCCAACCCTAGGTGTACTATTGGTAAGGTGTACTTACCAATGGCAAATTAAGCAAAATAAGAATAACAACAATAAAGTAAGACAATCACAGCACACGTTACGAAAGGGTGGCCACTCTCTAAATGCCTAACTGTGCTCATCTTCCCTGTTGTTGCAATACTGGCTAATTAGCTTGCAATGGTAACTAAAGAAAGTCCTTTGCAGCTTCTTGTGGGGCCATCGCTGAGTAAAAGCAGGGTTTCTCGGACAGAAGTACTGCAGTACCACAACAGTCTGCCGTGATGGCTGAGATGCCGCAAAGGGACTAACAGGTAGGTCGTGGACACAGAGTGTCCACGCGGGCAAAGGGATAATCACGCCCAGGGTGGTATGGAATGTGTCAGCATGGTTGCCCACTTTAAAACTTAGGAGCCGTTGGTGGATTTTTTTTTCCCTTCACTATTTTCAGATTGCAGTTGAAACCATCAGCAGCAAAGCACAGAAAAAGGAAGGTTAATGTATATGCACCCTACTATCTCGCAAACACACGGCGATCTCATTTGATGTGAATTTGAATCATAGTTCAAAACAGTACAATAAGAATATTGTGGTGTTCTGTGTAAACTCTGTCACAGCGTGGGGAGCAAGGGGCAGATCAGGTCTAACTTGCTAACTGGCAGCTCCGGCTCTGTAGTGAAGCAGAGTGGGCCCCATTGGAGCCACCACTGCAGTCAGGCCAGAGATGAGGGGGAGCCCTAGCAATGGGGCAAAAAGGCGGGTTTGGCAGCATCTACATTGATGTCAGGACTCAGGGTGAACACAGTGAGGGCCTAAATTGTCTTGAGCAGGAACTCTGTCTTGCTCATGGGTACACTGCATTGCCGTCATAGAATATATGACCTGCTAGAACTATGAAGGAAGGAGGGAGGGAGGGAGGGAGCGAGGGAGCTAGGGAGGAAGGGCAGGCAGGCTGGCTATACTTCATTTACTGATAATATGTATGTGCTTAGTCAAGTTCAGTAAGCTTGACTCTTCACGTCCTTTAAACTGTCTTTAAAGCTGCCCTTTGGAGTAAAATTGATATGTAAAAGCTCATGTCATTTTAAAAATGATTTGTGCCAGGCGGTGGAGGCACATGCACTTGGGAGGCAGAGGCAGGTGGATCTCTGTGAGTTTGAGGACAGCCTGATCTACAGAGTGAGTTCCAAGACAGTCAGGGCTGTTACACAGAGAAACCCTATCTTAAAAAAAAAAACAAAAAAACCAAACCCAAACAAATCTCATTTGATGTTTTGAAACCACAATCAAACTTATCAACAGACATACCTATCGTTCCCAAAAATGTCTCCATGCCCTTTAAAAAATTGTATGAGCGTTTGCCTACAAGTACATATGTGTACCACATGCATGCCCGAGGCCCATGGAGGACAGAAGACAGGAGTAAGATCTCCTGGAGCTGGAGTCGGGAGCCACAGTGTGGGTGCTGGGAACGAAGCCAGGTGTCATAGTTAGGGTTTCTGTTGCTGTGAAGAGACTCCATGCTCGCAGCAACTCTTAGAAAGTAAAGCATTTAATTGGGATGTCTCCCTTACAGTTCAGAGATTCAGTCAGTTATCAGCATGGTGAGACACAGCAGTGTGCAGGTAGACATGGTGCTGAGACATCTAGCTGAGAGTCTGACATCTTAGAGGTGATAGGAAATGGTTTGTGACACTGGGCTAAACTTAAGCGAAAGAGACCTCAAAGCCACCCCACAGTGACACACTTCCTCTGAAAAGGCCATACCCACTCCAGCAAATCCACACCTCCTGATAGTGCCTCTCCCTATGAGCTTTTGGGGACCAATTACATCCACACTACCACACCAGGTCCTCCGCAAGAGCAAGAGCTCTTAACTGCTGAGCTAACTCTCCAGCACCCCTTTACCCATTCCCAACCTTCCCTCCCCCAGCATTCACTCATGTGCTTTCTCTAATTAGATGCTACTTCACAGTTGCGGGAATTTATATTAATGGAAATCATACTCTTTTTCGTCTAGCTTCTTGTACCCAGATATATATACGTCATTGATCCACCCCAGTCTACCAGGTGACGCCACACCTTTCCACACACAACCTATGACTTAGAGTAGTGTACTGACGTGTCACCCGTGTGACTTAGTGTACTGACATGTCACCCGTGTGATTTAGTGTACTGACATGTCACCTGTGTGACTTAGAGTAGTGTACTGACATGTCACCCGTGTGACTTAGTGTACTGACGTGTCACCCATCCGGGTCCTTGTCTATTATCGTACATTTGGATACATACAGTTTCTAAACTCCACCACGTGCTGTCATTTTTAAGCAGTCCGTTGAATATTTAAATCATACAAAAACAGTTGTATCCTTCTGCTCCTACCTTCCAGGCTGGCGCTCCTCACCTTTTGTGCAGATCCAGATCGCCTCCAGCCGAAGGACGACTTTTGACATTCTTGTTCCGCTAGCAATGGATTCTTTCCACTTAGTGTATCTGGGAATGTCTTTATTTCACTTCCCTTTTTCAATGTTCTCTTCATGGCAGCACAGAATTCTAGGTAGAGATCCTCTTCACTTCATGTTTTTATGAGTTTTATTCCATTGTCTTCTTGTTTATATTGTTTCTAAGGAGAAATATGATACTTCCTTATGTTTGTTCCTCTGTGAGAGAAAAGCCTTCCTTCATCATGAGAGACAGAGGCAGACACAGACACACATCATAGGCATGCGCACACACACATACACACACACACACAAATGTATGTCAAGCTTTAAATCTCAAAATCTTCCCCCAATAGCATACTTACAGCAAGCCTCCACTTCCTAAAGTTTCCAGAACCTTCCCAAACAGAGCCACCAGCTGGAGACCAAGTGTCCAAAACACGAGCCTGTGGGAGACATTTCATATTCAAACCACAACACTGTATTTATGGATGTGAGTTTACATTTTCATTAAACTTGGAAAAGTTGTTTTGTCTTGTTCTGATTTGGTTTTGTGTGGTTTTTTGAGACAGGGTTTCTCTGTGTAGCCCCAGATGTCCTGAAACTCACTCTGTAGACCAGGCTGGCCTCAAACTCAGAGATTCACCAGCCTCTCTGCTTCCTAAGTGCTGGGATTAAAGACATGTGCCACCACCACCCAGCTTGAAAACCTTTTTGTTGCTTTGATGTCAGAAGTTTATTTTGTTTTCTGTTCAATGACATAAAACTATATTGATATGGTATTTACAAAATCTCAGTAAATATTACATACTGAAAATTACTAAATACTGAAAGATTTTTCCACTGGAATGTAGAATCTAATGTAGATATTAACCCATAGCAAGCTTTAAAAAATAAAATTGCCATGTGGTTTGTGGCCTATGCCTTTAATCCCAGCACTCAGGAGCCCAGCAGATCTCTGTGAGTTCGAGGCCAGGCTGGTCTACAGAGAGAGTTCCAGGACAACTAAGACTATATAAAGAAACCCTGAATTGAAAAACCCAATAAAAAATAAATATGTAAAAGTAGAAAATGAAATCAAGTAATTATGATTAAATTACAAAAGTATGAAAACATAAAACATTGCTGAATGATTGCAGTCTGCAAACTGGGCCACAGAAAGAAGGGACAGTTCCAACACTGGATTGCTTGTTTAACAAAGTAGTCTGGTGAGTTAAACCAATTCTTACTGGAATCTGAGGGGCTGGCTCTGTTGGCATGTGTCCCATTCAGATGAGACTCAGTCTTTATAGGGGAGTTTCTAAATTAGAATATTCAAGAACTCATATCTGACTTGTGGGGCCAAGTGAGCTGAGTCACCCTCAGCCCTGGAGGTGAGGTTGAATTAAATCTCCGATCTCTTTACAAAATTTTCCACCCATGCACCCACCCACCCCTTGCCCCTGAGACAGGGTTTCTCATTCTAACAGCTCTAGCTGTCCTGGAACTTGCTCTGTAGACCAGGCTGGCCTTGAAAACACAGGGATCCTCCTGCCTCTGCCTCCCAAGTGCTGGGATGAAAGGCGTGTACCATCACCACCTGGCTTCTTAATAAAATTCATAAAAGTCGATTCTTAACCTTTTCAGAGAACATCCTGGCAGAGCCACAGAGTGTGTTGTCCAGCATCCCCTCCTCCCAGTTCCCCGATTCACATCACGTGAAAACGCACTAACTTTCAGCACACAGTGGGCGTTATGGATCAAATTGTCCCAGAGAAGAAAATGAGCATCACCATTAGGACTTGAGGAAGTACTGAGTTCTATCACCAAATGTTTCATTAAAGCCAATGTGGGGGCATTGAGAGGATGGCTCCGTTGGTAAAGAGCTTGCTTGCCACAGAAGCATGAGTATGTGAGTTCAAATCCCAGTACTCATATACATCTTTTTTAAAAGTCCAAATTAGAGCCTGGTGTAGTGGCACACGAATTTAATCCAAGTGCTTGAGAGGCAGATGCAGGTAGATCTCTGTGAGTTTGAGGCCAGCCTAGTCTACAAAGCGAGTTCCAGGACATCAGGGCTACACAAAGAAACCCTGTCTTAAAAAACCAAAACAACAACAAAAAAGTTTGTATTTGGTGGTATGCACCTATACTCCCAGCACTAGGATGATGGAGACAGGAGGGTCCCTGCAGCTCATTGGGCAGTCAGTCTTGCTGAACTGGTAAATTCTGAGTTTAGTGTGGGACCGTCTCAAAAAATAAGGTGAGATGTGGTAGAGAAAGACAACCAATGCCAGCCTCTGGCCTGCATATGCATGCACACGTACAAGCACGTACACACGTGTGCATATCACACACACCACCGTCACGAGGAAACACATCAGCATATTTAGTGGTTTGTCAGGTTTTACATTTGGAGAACTTTTGGCCATGTTTTTCTTAAAATAATTTTCTGTCAGTTCTATCTTTTTCTTCAGCGACTCCATATACACTGATAATTGTTAAGAGGCAAAAAGTCACATGACAAGAAGAGATACCAGATTGTGCATCCATGTATTTGGGACATTTGCAGTCACTCTACAGCTCACTGACAATCTAGTCCAACAAAAACAAAAACCCCTGCTTTTCTTTGTTTTATCCTGTGTAATTTCTATTGTTATATTTTCAAGTTTGTCCTTCTTTTCTCTTACAGTATCTGACGTGCTGTTAGCCCCATTCTGTGTATTTTTCAAAACACTGTAGTTTTCATAAAAAAAAAATAAAACAAAAATTCTCAACCTAAATTTTTGTGAAGAGGGGCATCATGTGTAAGTATAATGTCTGTGTGTGTGTGATATATGCATGTATGTGTGTGTGTGTGTGTGCAGGCGTACTTGCCTATGTGTGTATGTGCAAAGCCAGAACATATTTGGTATCTTTCCTAGTTACTCGTCACCTTATTATTTGAGAGAGGATCTCTTACTAAATGTAGAACTTTCTATTCCAGCAGGACTGGCTGACCACTGAGCCCCAGGATCTGCTTGTCTTGGCCCCACCCCAGCATTGGAGTTACAGGCACATGCCACGGTACCTGGCTTTATGTGGGTGCTGAGGATCTGAACTTCCGGTTCTCAGGCTTGCACAGTGAGCTCTGTGACCACGTTACAAGCGTCTCTCCAGCCCTCCACCTAGATATTTATCTCTTGTGTCTCCAGCTACTGTTTGAAAATGTATGCGGTGCAATTATAATAATGTTTGAGTATATTATGTTTTATTTATTTGTTGTGTGTATGGTGGGGGCACCTATATGCCATGACACATGTGGAGGTCAGAGGAAAAGTTACTGTGTCCATTCCCTTCATCATATGGTTTCTGACCACTCAAGTGGCCAAGCTTGACAGCAAGTGCCTTTGTCTGAGGAACTAGCTCCCCAACCCCTAGCTACAATTCTTAATGTCTTTGCCTGTGAATTCTACCATCTGTCTCTTCCGACTTGGCTGTGAGCCTAGGGTTATTGTCCTCATGTTTTCCTACTTCGTAGCCTGCCTGATTATCTTTGATTAGATGCCAGACACAGTAAATTTGACTCCTTTGGATGCTGGGTATTTTTGCATTCCTACATTTTGTCCTGGGATGTAGTTGAGTGACCCAGAAGTGGTTTGTGAGGGACAGAGCAGTGGTCAGCATAGGGCTGGTTATTTCCACTACTAAAATAAGACCCCTCGAGTGTGTCCCAGGATGTACAGGTTCAGAGCTTTCCATGAACTGCGGTGGGGACAGGCATCGCTGCAAGCTTGCTCTATCTTCTCTGTGCTCCCTTTCCTCACAGACCTGTGACAGACGCAGCACGTTGTCCCTGCCTTCTCTCTGGGCTCCTCCTGTGTGCTTCAATGCTTCAGTCTCCCCAGACTCTCAGCTCTATCTCTGGAACTCAGGGAGTCTGTCACAACTTGCACGAACTCCCTCTGTCCTTGTTTGTTTTCTGTCCAGGAATTGTCACTGGTGAACATAGATACAGTGCCTTTAAAAGGATTGCTTGTTATGTTTTGTTTTTGCTACTGTTTCAAGAGGCAGAGTAAACTCAGTCCCTGTTACCCCAACCTGGCTAACAGAAGAGGTAGCCCCATTTCAACGGGCACTGGCTAGTATGAAAGGAAGAAATGCAGAGGTTGACACAGATATTGCCAGCCCAGATTTTCTTTTAAAGTTGGGCCGACTGTCCCAGGGCCTCATCAGCTTCCAGCCACCAGATCCTGTAGGCTTCCACAGCCGTGTCTCTCCCAAGCCACTTACCCTCAGCCCCATATGGGTCCTCTTGTGGACAATGCTGGGCAACTTAGGTTTCTTGCAACCCAAATTTTCAACTTCTGCTTCCAGAAAATCCAGTGTACACTGCCTACTCACAGATACTCCTCTTGACCCAGACAACAGTCCCAGGGTCTCTTTCCTGGCCTTTCTATTGATATCACCATCCACAAGACCAAAAACTTTTTCCAAAATGACCATCTAGTCTTTTAGTGTGTGAGTCTGCATACATATATATGTATATGTATATATATATATGACTTAGAAACTTTTGCTCTCTTGGCAAATGTATCCAAAAATTACTCCTTAAAATACATATTGCAGGGGATGGAGAGATGACTCAGCAGTTAAGAACACTGGCTGCTCTTCCAGAGGTCTCAGGTTCAGTTCCTAGCACCCACACAGGGGCTCACAACCACTCATAACTTCAGTTATACGATATCTGATGCCTTCTTCTGGCCTCTGCAGGCACTGCATTCACAGCCAGTAAGTCTTCCCTTCTAGCAAGCTGGTTTTCTCAGGCATTTTGTGATGTGTACTCTCTCCAGTGATGGAGAGCTAACACAGCTCCCATAAAGCCATCTACCTAAAACCTCCTCTGTTTCTTGGACAGCCCTTCAAGGCCTCTTTTCTCACACCTCATTTTTGGCCCTTGGAATCCGTTGCTCTCTTTGGGGAATGCCTGACACACACACACACACACACCCGCCCACCTCACTCTGCAGGTCCTGTACTGCCATTGCCTCCTCTCATGCTCTTTTACCTGCCTCCCATCAAATGCACACTGTGTGTTCTCCTCTTAGAGACAAAGCCACGGCTTTCATTGGCCACTTTCTCTGGTGTCCGACCATCATGGCAAGGCACCTAGGCAGCAGCCCTACCCCAGTTCAAATGAACTATCACTCACATTGGGTCCCTCAGTGCCTTCTCAGCCTGCAGGAGAAGCCTCCCCTACCAACCATGAAGGCCCGAAGGACTTCCTTCGACCCAGAATTCCCCGTTCTTCTATGGGACAAAGTTTGAGGATCAGTGACCAGAAAAGAATCTGCTACTATGTGCTGCTGAGGGTCAGATGGTGGAAATTCTCACTTTCCTACATAGCATACAGCAGGCATCTTCAGCACTGTTCGGGGTTGTCTTCTCTGTCTGCAGTAACTGCAGGAGGTCAGGAGAAGCAGGGCATGAATATCAGCCTGCATGGGACCGGTCAGATCCATGCCCAGTGTCCAAGTGGCCTTTAGTCACACACAAATATGCCTGCTCTTCCAGCTCTGAGAACAGTCAGGGGACTCCACTCAGGAGATAGGTCTTTGTAGAACCATGGCCAACAGAGCTTTCTCAGGATAGAGGCCCAGGGAGGGCTTCGGACACTCCAAGGAGAACCAGAGCATGCTAGGCAGCAGCGGCTCCGTCTAGCTGAGGAGGGGGCTTGCCTTCTTAAAAAATTGAGAAATCAGATGGCAAAACAAAACAGAACAGAAAAAAAAAACAACAAGGCTATCTGAAAGAAATCTGAGCTGCAAAGTCTGAAATACTTGATGGGGGCTTTTTCTTCTTTTGCTTTCTTTGTATCTGGAGGCCAGAAGACAATCTTGGCTGTCATTCCTCAGGTTTCATCCGCCCTTCCTTGGCTTAAGACTCCCCAAGTAGGCTAGACTGGGCGGCCAGTGACTGACTCTCCTCTCAGTGCTGCGGTTACAACATAACAGGGTTTTTTTTTTTTTTTTTGCTTTTTTTGTTTTTGTTTTTGTTTTTGTTTTCATTTCTTTTCTTAACATAAGCTCCAGGGGCTGAGCCTAGGCTCTTAAGTCCTTATGTAAGTGCTTTACCTTCTGAGCCATCTCTCCCGTCCTTACTAGCTGGCTCCTTATGACAGCTTGTGGTCCCTTATTAGCATCTTCTGAGCACAGTCATCTCCACATCTGCTGTAAGCTTGGAAAGGGAGACACAGGGAGACGGGGCAGGCACCTTGGTTTCAGATTCCAGCCACCATCTGCTGACTGGACCTGACCGGCTTGGGCCAGGAAGCTCTAGCTGCTCTCCTTCTGTGTCTTCACCCAGGGTCTGTAAAACATGGCCCCGTTGGATCCCTTTTGGTTTCTAATCCTCTAGAGCTTTGGTCCCTGGCTTGTTAGTTTACCATTCCTAGCATCCGCCGCATGCCTTGCATTCAGGAATATCTTTGAACTGTAGTAGTTGTCTTATGATCAAGAAGTCAAGCCCCAGGCTGGAGACATGGCTCAGCAGTTAAGAGCGCTGACTGCTCTTCCAGAGGACCCGGTTCAATCCCCAGAGCCCACGTGGCGGCTCACACCTGTCTGTAATTCAGCTTGAAGTGACTTGACACTCTCACACAGGTCTAAATGTAGGCAAAACAATGCACATACAATAAAAAGAATAAATCATGAAGAAGAAGGAAAAGAAGGAGAAGGAGAAGAAAATAAGTGGTCAAGCCCCAAGCTCTACCAAGACTGTATTCCAAACCACGACACTGAGTCAGGGAGCTGACTCCTTGCTGGAGTAAGGAACTTCCTGCGAGTGAAGAACCACGCCTTTCTAGTTTAAGCATTGGCGGTTCTTTTGTTCGCTCTTGGCTGCTTCACAGACTGGCGTCTGAGCTGAGCTTGAAGGATGAGTTATGTTTGGACTTGCAAATGTGAAGGGAAGGTGCATCTTCCCGAAGAGCAGTCATTAGCGTGGGGCAGAGGCACATGTGAGCCACCGCGAGGCCCCATCTAGAGCCGTGAGTCCAGAAGAGAGCCTTGCAAAGGTAAGCAGTCAGGGCCAAAGACCCGAGCCCACAAAGACAGTGAGAATGATCACGTTCACAGAAACATGGGTCCTGGCAGCAGCTTGAGCGTACTGCCCATCCCCACCACCTCTGTGTTCCCAGCCTCCCTAGGGCCTTGTGATCATTCTGGTCCCGGACGACAGGGCAACAAAATGAAAGCTGGCCTCTGCATCCTTTGTCCCCAGCAGGGCTGGGAAGCAGCCCAGGGCCTGAGGGCAGCTGCCTTGCAGGCCCTTGCGGGAGTTTTTCGGCCCATACTGATACTTGGGGATGGACCTGGATATAGTTTAGCTTACATCATGGCTGTTCAAACTGTCCATAATATAAGGCCAATTTAAATCAAAAAATTAACATAACACAAATTGATACGTTTTATTTTGGGTGTGTATGTATGTGTTCACTATGCATGCATGTGTGCATGTATTTGCACCTGGAGGCCAAGATTGATGTTGGGTGTCTTCTCTCTTCTCTTTTTGTTTTGAAACAGGTGCTCATCATGGAGCTCAGGCTAGACCTGCTGCCCAGCAAACTTTATTACTGAGCTAGCCTTCTCTCCAGCCCCTGTCATTTTCTTTGGTTTGGTTTTGAGAGAGGAGGATATCTCTCCTGTCTCAGCATCCCAAGTCCTGGGACCACAGTTGTGACCACCACTTCAGATCCATGCTTTCATAAGACGCCATCAAAAAGGAATTAGGAGTGTGTCCACACACAAAAAATGCTTATGCAAAGGTATCTTTATGTAACACAGGGCCATGTAAATTGAATATATTCAATGAATTTTTAAAATAAAATAAAATGTTGCAAAATAAAAAAAAAGAAGCAACTAAAATACAAACCCAACTTTGTATTGTATTTGTAATTATTCTATCCGTTAAACTTTGTTAGGTTGGTGCTGTTTCTAAATTCACATCCCACTTTCTACACCCTGTATTCCAAGAGAGCATCCTTGGAGCTGCCCTCGCCTGTCTTACACCTACTTCCCCTGCGGGACACCCTTCGCTAGGCACGGGCACAGAGGCGAATGCTCCTCCTGCTCAACCTATCACCTGTTGTTTGTGTGCTCCAAGGGGAAGGACAGATTGTGCTTTTCTTGTGACAGGTTTCCTCTATGTGGTTAAGGATAGCCCTGAACTCACAATCTTCCTGCCTCAGCCTCCTGAGTGCTGGAATTTCAGGAATGACCCACCATGCCCAGCTGGACTGCACCGTGTAATAGCATATGCCCCCCAGGGAACTGGAGAGCTATCACGGAGGACTGTGGCAGTTTGCTAAACTCTATTGGATGCCAAGCACTGCATCCAATGTTTCACCCGCCTTGCCCCACACATCACAGGACCACCACATGGACCTGGCACTCATTTCCTTTCTCTTCAGAAGATTTGCCAAGTCTTCTGCTAGTGTAAGGGACCCGGATGGTGGCTCTGACTGGTGAGGAAGAATGGGGCTCTGGCTGGAGTCTGCCTTGGTGCTTTCCAGGTTCTCCTGGAAAGCCTTTCAGGCTTGAAGTGGGGAAGTGATATACCGAGACCCAAGCTGCACGGAGGGAAGTGGAAAGAGGCTGGAGATATAGCTAGGCTGATGGAGTGCTTGCCTAGCAGACAGGACAGCTCAAAACCAGGCATAGATGTAATTCCCATACTTACCAGGTGGAGCCAGGAAGAGCGGAAGCTCAAGGTCATCCTTGGCTACACAGTGAATGCAAGGCCAACCTGAGAAGCCTTGGTCCTGTGCTGTGGAATTCTGCTCTGTAGGCTGTGAATATGTTTTATTACCATTGGTTAATAAAGAAGCTGCCTTGGCCTATGGCAGAGCAGAATAGAGCTGGTTGGAGGAGGGAATAAACTGAATGCAGGGAAAAAGAAGGTGGGGGTCAGGCATGTGCCAGGTAGTTGCCAAAGGAGAAAGATGCCGGAAATTTATTGGTAGGCCACAGCCTCATGGTGATACACAGATTAATAGAAATGGGTTAATTTAAGATGTAAGAGCTAGCTAGGAATATGCCTGTACCATTGATCAAACAGTGTTGTAATCAATACAGTTCCTGTGTGATTTTTTGGGTCTGGGCGGCCGGGAAATGCACGAGCAGTCTCCTTTTATAGTCTCGCCTTACCTGACAACACACGTTTGAGCCTGGACTGTGTTTAACGGGATTGCAGGGTCAGACCCTGTCTATTGTGGAATGAGGGCATCCTGAGGTCAAGGTTTTGCTTTCACCTCTGTTGGTTAGAGCACAGACATCTGTCCTTTAGAGAGACTGGTCTCCAAAAAGGACTCTAGACTTTTAAGGAAAAGATATATATGTTTCTGCTGTGCTGGAGGTCTTTGCCTGAGCCCAGGTGACAAAAAGGAGGGCTGAGGCACGGAACTGAACCCGTATCTAGGGCCACACACAGTCTTGAGTCTTGGCTCCATCTTGGGGGCTCGGAAGACTGAGATATTTCACCAGCCTCGAGGAGGAACATGGTGCAGGGCCCGGGGACACTGAGATTAAAGAATTCCAACGCTGGATTACAAAAACAAAGCCTCGGTTTTAGTGGTACCCGCATTTTATGTCAGCATTCAGGAGGCAGAGCCAGGAAAACCTGTGAGTATGAGGCCAGCCAGGGGTACCTAGTAAAATTCCATCTCAATACAAACAACCTGGGGAGCCCGACTCTTAGAAACTCGTTACCAGAATGACCCCCTGGCTTAGTTTAACTCTGAATCTCCTCTTCCTCTGCAGGGAATCATTTGAACTTCTCAGACTACAGGAACAAAGAGCTCACATTTAGTGTCCCCGCGTCCAGAAAGTGGATCCTTCTGCCCGGTGAGCACAGCAGGCCCCTCTGTGGCTTTGCCTCTCTTCATAGGACCTGGCTTGGCACATCCCATGGCGGACACCCGTCCTGCTTCGGGCTGCTCCGGGCTGCTCTCTGTTCCCGAGTTCACCCTCCTTCGCTGTGGGCTGCTCAAGGGCAGAAAGCATTTCTGTGTCCCTCACTGGAGGGGGTTTGGGGTGGGAAGACCCCCCTCCAGGTTTAGTTCCAGTGAGGCCTGAACGAGGCAGGCGCCGCTTCAGACCTCTCCCTGCAGCTCCGACAAAGGCCCTTCTGAAGCAGCGTTTCTCATTAGCCCAAAGGTTTATTTTTCAGGCAGCTTTGCTCCATGACTCAGTTTCTGGCCCACAGCCAGGAGGCCTTGTGTTAGAAATTCCTGCAGAGGAGGCCTCAGGGCCTTGGCCTGACCTCCCTCCCAGCCCTGCAAAAGCCCGTTCGCCTGTACCCCTTCTTAAGCGAGGTCGGGGAATCGGCATTCTTGGGCCTTCAAATTGAAATGATGTTAACATTTTAAATCACTGACTCAAAGAAGAAAATAAAAAATTATGTGGCTATCACGGCTATATCTCCTCTGTGTGTTTTAAATATAGAAAGCAGAAAGCCGAACATCTGGCAAAAAAGGTTGTGTGCTGACTGTGTGGTGGAAAGCCAGAAGAACCACGAATTAGTCAGAGTAGAAAATGACGGTTTTCTCTTACTGAGCAATATTTGGAGACAGGACTGGGGGGATTGGAAGATGGCTGTTACAACACAGGTTGTGTTTTTCCAAATTCAGTCCTTCAGAAATTCTCAAGGAAAAAAAAAACTAAGAAAAAAAAATCATTTTTTTAAAAGACATTTTAGAGTGCAAAATAAAATGAGCCAAGACTCAGCAACTGGCAGAGGTCCGCTGGAGGCCCGGAGTCGGCAGGCAGCGGAGTTCTGGTAGAAGGTCGATTTCTTTTTAACTTGTAAAAATAACGGGAGGCGACGGCTTAGTCAGGACAAACCCTTGCCGTAAAGTGTAAGAACTCAAGTTCAGCTCTTCTGGCACCCCCATTTAAAACGCCAGCACAGGCCTGGCATCGTATCACAGTGACCCCAGGGCCTGGAGGCAGAGGCACTAGATTCTGGGGACTCAGAGGCCAGTCTAGCCACATGGGTGAGCTTCAGGTTCAGGGAGAGACCCACTCTAACTAAAAAATAAAGGGAGAGAAAGATATCGGTATCAACTTCTAGCCTCGACATGTATGTACTTGGGCACGCTCACATGGGGGTGGGGTATGGCAACTTTAAAACTGTTTTTAAAAGTCAAGAAGGATTCATCATC